CAGCATCCTAGCGATGACCCAGCTACTCAGAAGAAAAAACCGGACGGAGGTGACTTCTTCAATCAGCCAGCCCAGAACGCCAGCGGACCAACCGGACATTCCCTGGACCCCTCGACGCCCAAAGTCAGCAGGAAGCAGTCATGAGAGACCGGGCTACGCCCCCATTCCCTACCCCTTAAGACCCCCCTCAATTTAATTTTTTTTTAATAAACCAAAAAAGTTGGAATGTTATTCCTTGGAAACTACAGCTCCCAGACTCCTCCTGAAGTATGAACACCTTGGCGCACTGGCGGCCCAGGTGAGGGTCATTCCTCCCAGATAACCTTGCACCCCCCCCCTGCCCGTTAAAAGCGAGCTTCCACGAGGTCTCGCTCTCTTGCCTCCTCTCTCTCACCCCCTACCCTTGTGTGTCTCGCACACCCCATCCCTTATTGTGTTTCCCTCTCCCCATTAAAGCGCACCCACGTGGGAGCCGCGTGTCCCGTCTCTTCTTTGCGCGTGTCTCGCCTATCCTGTGTTTGTCCACACACCCACGCTGCCGTTTTTAAGGGAATAATAACGTGTGTGTTAGTTCCTCTGCAAGAGCCACAAGTGCTTCAAATCACTGGGCCATCTCTGCACCCCCAACTAAGATGACTTTCACAGCAAAAGGCAAACAATTATTTTAGGGAAGTGTAGTTGATATGCTATTTTGTTGTTATTAAAGAGTTCACACCTAAACTAAATTTTCTTTGGCAATCTAGAAAATGTTGAAAAGATGAACCCTAAAACAATGTAAATATTTCAGATGTTTACATCTGCTGTTTTGATGACTGGCAGCTGTAACCTATCTTGAGTATACCCAGAAACATGACTTAAAATTATTGCATTTGACTTATAAAGTTAGTGTGACTCTCTTGATTTTATTGTGAGCACAGCAAGCTTTTAAAACAGTAGGCGATTTTCTCAAGTCCACTTAAGACACGTCTAAGAGAGTTTCAGAGATCTTCTTACCACCTTTCACATCAAAGTGGCTTGTCAGAGGTACGGTTCAACAATCATAAAAGAGAGATACATTGGTTTTGTTACTTCTACTCAACTCAGAATAGTGCAGATGTATTTTCTTATCAGCAACTTCTAAGGAATTTGGAAATTTCCTGATTTATAGTTTATTGGAAGTTTTGCAATGGCTAGTGATGTAAAGATTTGTTAGAGCAGTTGATATTGTGTGTGTGCCGTATGTGCATGTGAAAAAAACTACCTCTGTAATACATAATTTCATTCATCGAAATCCTATAAAATATTTGTCACTATAAAATCACTACAAAAATATGCATCCGTTAATTATAGTGATATGTGTGAATTTATGTCTAGACCTCAAAGTCTAATTATTTTGAAAAATTACAACTAGGGGTGGAGGGAGAGGAGAAGGTAAGGGGGAAGAAGAACAGTAGGAATTGGGAAGATCAAGTTGGGGGAAGGACAGAGAGGGAGAACAAGGAAAGAGATATCTTGATAGAGGGAGCCATTAAGGGGTTAATGAGAAGTCTGGCACTAGGGAAATTCCCAGGAATTCACAAGAATGACCACAGCTAAGACTGTAAGCAATAGTGGAGTGGGTTCCTGAACTGCCCTTTCCCTGTAAGCAGATTGAAGACTATCTTAATTGTCATCATAGAACCTTCATCCTGTAGTTGATGGAAGCAAATGCAGAGATCCACAGCTAAGCATTGGGTGTAGTTCCTGGAGTCTAGTCGGGGGGGGGGGGGGGGAGAGAGAGAGAGNAAGTCCATAATGAAGATATCCACCGAAACAGCTGAATTGAGCTAGTGGGAGCTCACTGACTCTCTACTGACACCTGGGGAACCTGCATAGGACTGAACTATGCCCTCTGAATGTGGGTAACAGTTGTGTGACTGGGCAGTTTGTGGGGTGACTGGCCATGGAACCAGTATTTACCCCTAGTGCATTTATCCCTAGGGCTTTTTGAAGCCCATTCCCTATGGAGGGATACCATTCCCTATGGAGAGATGAAGGGTTTGGTCCTGCCTCAAGTAATCTGACAGACTTTGCTGACTCACCATTTGAAGCCTCACCCTCCCTGATGAATGGTTGGGGAGGGGGTTTAGGGGAAGGTGGGAGGAGTGGGAAGAGGGAAGGAAGAGGGAACTGGGATTGGTATGTAAAATAAAAAGATTGTTTTTAAAAAGTTAAAAACTAAGATTAAAAACATAAAAAATTTGTATGTTTTGCATACAGAGTTATAAATCTTCTATGCAATACCTAGAAGTATATACTTAAAAGTAAATTTCAATAATATACTTGTATATAACAGTTCAAAACATCACAAGTTCAACCATCAAAACTGTAACTTTTATTTGGTAATAGGTATTTTTAATAAACAACTTTCTCCATCTGTAAGACCCTGATAATGCCTTTTAGGAAATGATAGAAAATAAATACAATAATCAATTTGTACTCTGTACAAAAATCTTACTATGTTGTTCAGCAGGTTGTTTTGCTAAACACCATATTCTTCCAGCAAATATATGACATACATAATGCAATTTACCATAAACAATCCCTCATATTGAGAACTGGACATTCTCTAACACCCATTAGCTTGTATGCACGCCAGCACATGAAAATTTACATGGACTATTATAGTAGATTTTTATAAGATGAAATCTGGATACTGCTGTGATCAAGTAGGTAGTAGGTGGGATTGCAGTTCGATTACTTACATTTGTGTCTCTACCATATTGTAATTACTACTAAAAAGAAAACATAGACTGTGTAAGCAACCTGGGAGGAAACACATATGCCCTAAACAGTGATATGATTCCAAACTGAGAAAACCTAATGTGGTGCCATCCTTCCTTGTAGGGTCACAAGCAGATCTATACCCTCTTGCAAGAAAAGACGGCTATAATGCTAACATTTGAGTATAGATGGCTTCCAGTCAGTTTACAAAGACAAGTCTTTACAAGTCTTTAACATATGGACATTTTGGCTTCAGTTTTTAATTAGTCAAATTTAATCTTTGTGATGAATTAAATAGGCCATTCTAGCCAGATGTTATCTTGTTATTTTATAGAAATACACTACTTAGCTGGGCGGTGGTGGCTCACGCCTTTAACCC